CCACCGGGACATCCCACTGAGGCGCGCAGCCGGGTTAGCAGCAGCGGCACCGCCGGCTCTGCCGTGGGTGTTCCAGCCCGTTAATGCCGCGCTGAAGAGCGAAGGGAGGCGCTGACGTTCAGGCCCAGGGGCAACACTTCAGCGTGCCGCCATCAGCTGCCAAGGAGGGGCTGTAGGTCTCGGCCCCTTCCTGCGTCTGTCCTGTAGGAGCGTCTCAAAATCATGTTCGATAGCGTGTGCATACCCCAGTGTTATGTTTTCCAAAAGGAAAAGGAGAGAGGCCAAGTCCATTCCTCGTACAGGTGAATTAGAGAGAGCACTAAATAGTAATGCTCTCAGCCAGCTTTATTTTTCATTAATACAGCTCCTGGTTGCTAAAAGACACCTTTCGATAACACACAACACTAAAAATTAAGCTAAAGACCGATAAAAGCTGTATTGGCTAAAACATCCTTTAGCTCCAATGGCAATGTATGAAAAATGTAGAGTAAACAATATAGACCAAAAGGGAGTACAAATAAATTAACATCTAGAAGGGCCAAGTACAAAACTCTCCCAGAATATTTATTTCATTTCATACTTAAAAACCTTAGTCTAAGAGAGAGAGAAAAAAGGAAATGTAAATAAGTTGCTCCACTTCTGTCATCAACATGATCTGTGTAACTCTTCCATCAAGTCTTGCTTCTCCGTTGGATCAAAGTCATGACGCACTTGAAACTGCCAGCTTTTTCAGATGGTCCATGAATACCTGGAGACTAACATCATCGGTCAAGATTGGAGCTCCCGATTCCTGCATAAAAATAAAGAAATAATAAGCCTAAAATAGTGTTGTTAACACTGGGGACTAACCAAGAGCAAATCAGATGCCAGCACTCTGAAATGATTGTCTGCTAAATCAACCGCCTTTTTTCCTGCAAAGGACAGATCTAGTGGAAAGATGCTACTCTGGCAACAGCACTGACACTATGGTGCAACCTGAACTACTAGAAAAAAGAATGTTTCTTCTTTCTGAAGCATTAGGAATTTTGCTGCCCAAAGCTCTACACAAAGTAAAGCAAGAGGGTCTAAAAGTCCAGTATTCTCAAATAAATTAGATCTATATGTATCCATATGCTAGTTACTTTTTCCAGAATACTAAATACATTGTG